TACACACTCCTTGCACAGACAAGACAAGAATGTTCCCACTGAGAGCTGCTTATCACACAGCTATGGGGATTGAATGTTTTAACACAAAATTGAAAGACTTTAATTTTAATTCATTTTTGTTGCTAAAATTGCACTCATGTGTTACTTATTATTTTTTTATTATATTTTGAAATAGCAGATTTAGTGCCAGGTAACAATTTGGACCCAAAACTGACCACATGGACAAGGAAAAAAAGGTTATTTTCCTGCCAGGATAAAAACAAAGCCAAGTTCCTGTCTGGTTGTCCCATTCTGGCCTCTGTCTGGATTCACTCCATGCCTCTGCACCTAACTGTGAGGTTGTGAATGAGCGCGTGTAAGAAGGGCATATGTCACAATATGTGTGATCTGCTGGCCATCTGTCAACCTCCCTGGTGTTGTGGTCCACGACCCGGTCCACTGTAGCCACAAAGTCAACATTAGCGCATCTGCTGCACTGGGCATGAATGAATGTTACAATCTGCTCACAGTTTATAAACATAGACAGAGATGAAGAACCTCACCTCTCTAATGAACGCAGCATCACACACTTATAGTGGCTGGTTTTTCAATGCTAAGCGCTGATTAAAAGATACGCAAAGCTGATTTATTAATGGTGTGCAGGGAGGATTGCGACCAACAGATGAGCAAAGTTAGCAGCCGCAATACATTTAGCACGTTTGCCTTCATAAAAATGCAGAATATATAATGATTACAAGAACGTGCAAAATACTGTGGGATGAGGATGTGCAGATATAATCATTTAGCACTCACAGTGRGATTTATCAAACTTTATAAATGGTTGTGCCACAGTTTTAGAGTCAAGGCAGGCAGTTATCCACTCTGCTACCACAGTGTGGCAGTGAATATAAATGTATTAATATATTTAATTTAAATAAAAAGGAATATTACTGAATAAAAATAAATATAAAGTCCATTTCAGCTGTGGTCCTGACTTATTTCTTTACCCTTTTTTCCTGTTCAGGGCTGTTAAATATAACTCACATCTCAGAGCCTGTAGGATGTAAAAAAAAACAAACAATAAATATGATTAAATAACCATCTCCTAACCCACTAGAAATAAGTTTGCCACCTCTTCCTGTCATCTTTTCCCTTCTCCGCTCCACGTTCTTTCTTTTCCCAGGGTAGACAGTCTGATTGCCTTACCTCCAGCCCTGTTGTATCGGTAGGGGTGCAACAATGCATGTACCCGTATCAAACCGTATCAAACTGTGCTTTAGGTTCAATACACATTTGTATCGAACAATATAGATTTTAAAAATTGATTTTATCAACTTGTCTTTTGAAGATGCTCTGTGTTGAAGGATCAGTGAATGTGTGTTCGACTACTCCACCTAGGCTGCATTTTTGAGCGCAGATCCACTGAGAAACTTGCTGTTTCAGCAACATTCAATTTAAAAACTGTACTTTTGAGGTTAAACAAATGTTTATAATTAATTTCAATAAATTACAAGTTAAAAGGGGCATAGAAATATCTCTTTTTTGTATCGAAAAAATATCGACCCGTGAGACTAAAGTATCGAACCAAACCGAATCGTGAATTTTCTGTATCGTTGCACCCCTATGTTATCGGGTGTGAGTATAACAGATTTTTTGTGAAAATGAGAGATATTTAAAGGTCAAGAAGGGGTTGACATGTATGCATGTGGCTCTGGAGTCACAGGTTGYCAACCCCTGTCATATGGAAGAACTCCTAGCACCACTGCATTTTCTTGCGTCTGGTTTGCCTCTAACAGAGACACAATAAATAATTTCAACAGGGCGGTCTGCACCACCGTTGCACCTGTTATCCTTTTCTCAAGCAGTCTTAGTAAATCACTCCCAACATGCCCAATTGTAGCACAACATTTTTTTTTATTTGCACATGTGAATAAATCTAGTCATCTGGGATATTGATAAATTAGCCCCTTATAAAGTGACACTTAAAAGCATTTTGCTGCCTTATGGTCCCTTTAACCCACGTGTTTCTCAGACCAGTAGTGTGTTTTTTATATATAAAGCATCTCTCTGTCTTTTTAGGTGAGTCAGTTGTACCTGAGCTCCACTGGTCGCCTGTGCTCTTCTCTGCCACCTCACATCTTCTCTTCTGCTGAGAGAGCGTACCACATGATGAAGCAGGAGCGACGCCCTCAGTGTTTTATCTTGAGGTACAACTGCCACCCATTTCACCAAAAGTAATAATTTTTAAAAAAGCATACTCCCTCATGCTGACAAAGCTAAATGCCTCAGAATTGTGAGGCCAAAATGGCTCTGACATTCTCATAGCTGAAAAACTGTGGACACGGTCCAAAAGCTGCCCACATCGTTTCTCCAAAGGCCCCCCTTGACCCTACACCTGTTAAACACTTCCAGAAAGATTAATAGACTGAGCAGAGCTGCAGACCTTTACGACGTTCACGCAGAGATGGATGTCTGCTGGGAGTGCTGCAGAGTTGCGCTCTTTTTGTCCTCGACTGGACCGAGGCAGTGCCCTGATTGCAATTAAATCCTGTTCCGGCTCTCCAGTGACATTCCCACTGAGTCGTAACCAGTCTGGCAGAGAGTTAACGCATGCTGGCCACACGCCATCCGTCTCACTTACACAAACACACACACGCAGCAACATTTCACTAAGCATTCACATGCACACACCTTCTCAATTTCTTTCTTACACAAAGTCATTTCTGCTCTGGTTTTGTTTTTGGTTTGGCTTATTTTTATACAGTGTATTCCAATGTGTAACTCCCTGACACACACACACACATTTTTAAACAATCAGCAACCCCTCCTGAGGCAAGTGCTCGAACAAATTGCCCTTGAAATCTAATAAAACACTGCTAAATGAAAAGACAGTGGAAAGACCTTCGGTCTTCACACTCAGCTGGTCTGCTTGTAGGAAATGTAGCAAGACTTGTGCACACAGACAAAACAGCACACCTAAAGCATGCTGCGGCCATTAGTGTAGGCCTYTGACCTTCTGAAGCCATCTGCTTGGTGTTACTATGCATACCTCAACTCTCCACATGTCAGGGAGTGTCGGAGCAGGCACTGTAGAGGATCCTTATGTCGGCCCTAATAGCCGCTCAGCAGAAAATTAAAAAGGTGCGAAAAGTGACGGTCATTAGGTAAAAAGCTGTCAATGTCAGGTGAAAAACTATAAATCATAAATTTAACAGGAAAACATCCCTGAAGAGGGGATGTCAGGTGGGTGGAGACGTTTAACAAAGGTRACACCCTGATCACTAACTGCTCTCACCTGTTCTTCTCAGACACATGCAGAGCCTCAATTTACGGTATGTCCTTTAGGTGTTTATTCACTTCAGTTCTTAAACGGTACATAAGCAAAATCCACTTTTTAAGATGTTAACTGCATTTTGTTTTGTACTTAAACTCTCTATCAGTGCAGAAAAGTTGAATATCGTCTCTCTTGATGTTGCATTTAAATTTTTATATTCTGTTTTATTCTTACCTTTTTTTATCTGTTAAGTTTTTTCTATTTTCTATAATGTTTTCTGATGTATTATGACAGAGTATTTGCAACAGAACTTCTAAATAAGGTATGGATTTACCGCCCTGGAAGCTGGAGGGGTGTGGGGTGTGAAGTGCCTCTTTTGAATGAAGCGACATCATCAAAATGAGTTGATTTAAGACACACTTCTGAAAGAGGGGCTTGTGGAGTTACAGTAAGGAGGAAATCAGACCAAAGTATTGCAGTTCCACTTTAGATGGACCCCGACTGAATGATTTAAATGTGGCAAGGAAGGATTTTAATGCATGATATGTCTCTTTTAAGATCATGAACAGATGGCAAAACTTTCTGCTTAAAAGCAGAATTCATGATTTCATCATTTATGGCAAGTTGTCAAGGTCCTACAATTAAAAGGCATGATATGGCTCCTTTAAAAAGTTAATAAGAAAATAAAACTCACTRACAGAAACTGATCACTCGAACAAAATTTCCAGATTAAGACATAATTTGATGCACAGCAGTGAAGATTATTTAAAAAAATGATTTGGAAGGACCTGGCATGTCTAGAACAGGCACCAGAGAAAGAAGCGGTGGTGTCACAATTACTGCTACGGCGTTTTTAGGGCGTTTATTGTACTGTACAGTCACTATGTGGGAAGTACAAATATTACAGAGTTTTAATGTTGGAGTTAATGGGAAGATGCAAAGGTTTCAAAGACAGATCACACGAAAGAAGGATGGTTGTATTGTGCACCAAACATTACCATAAGTCATCATAGGATTATGATTCAACATTATTGTTCAATACAGTTAAATTTCAGACACATTGAAACATTATGAATTAAAATAGTTATGGTTTAACAGCATCTTAAACATTTATAGCACAACATGAAAGCCATTGATCCATTTTTTTTTTGTTTATTCATTTATATATTTTGTCTCTGTAGTGGTGAGAGTGGTTCTGGGAAAACAGAGGCATGTAAGCATATCGTGAGACACTTGACAGCCCGCTCCAGCTCCAAAGGCTTTGGGCTAGAGCCCCAGATGAAACACGTAAGTCTGCAAGATGTTTGTCAAGTTCTGCCCTTCAAAGACTTGGAAGGAARATAAAACAAGTGCATGTCCTTGGCTTGATTCTTGGATCTTTTGTTGCTCTCAGATATGAAACACATATTTTGCATATTTTTTCTTCTTTTCCTTTTGTCCTCAGTGACAAACTTGTCTCCTGGTGCTCATAGTTTAGAAAGACACTGTGACTATGTGTTTAATTTGCTGATGTGCTAAAGAAGAGAGTAGATGTGTGAATTACCACAGGGTAAAATGTAAATGTTTGTCTTTCTGTTTTTTTTTTTTTTTTGGTCATGATCGCTATTTGTCTATTAAATACGATATTGAAGCATTCTGCCATAATCTATAGATCCGTTGTTGATTTATTGAATTAATTAAAATTGATTTTAAATGTTAAGCTCCTTATTACTTTGTGAAGCTTTTTATAGAATAGACTGAACAGAGAAAAGGCTATATTTATCAACATTTTTTTTTATTAAAAAGCAAAAGGCAGGTAACAAGGTGGTTTGTCATTGCYCTGGTCCTCATTTAGAATATCCACCAAGTTTCATTGTCTATTTTTTATTACTTGGTCTCTGTGAATTGTACAAAAAGCAGCGTGTACTCATCAGAGAGTACTGACTTCTGATGAAGTCATTATTATTCAAGCAATATCTGGGTCAGCTTGTCATTCTGAGACACACAAATCTCACATCCTCACATAGTGATTGTGCACTGACATCTAGTGGTAGAACGACGGATAAACCTTTGTTGTCGTTCATGTTTACAGCTTAATTGTTGCATTCTRATAGACAGTGCAAAGCTCCTATAACATGTCATGTTTATTTTATATGCAGGTAAACTGCATTCTGGAAGCCTTTGGTCATGCAAAAACCCCAAGAAATAGCAATTCAAGCCGCTTTATTAAGCTGTTTACCATCCAGTACTGTGAAAAGAGGAGGACAATACTCAGAGGTAAAATGCAATTCTGCCTTTATTAAACTGGGCTTCAATTAATTCTCAGTAAAGTTTATTGTCATTTTAATTCATCTAAATTTCTAAATGTGAGACATGAGATGTATCAATCAAAACACATTTGGTACTCACAAACATTTGCATCCTGATTTCCATGCATTCATTCCTAATGTTATTTAGCATAAAGATAACATTTGTTGTTTTTTTTAAATAGCATGTTTTCAATATTTTAACAGTTCTACCCACTAATACAGTTTTTATATGCTAATAAATCCCTAAGATGAACAGTTTTTAGAAAATTCCAGTAAGAGGCAGTAAAAGCTCACTAAGTAGTGGCCAAGATATCTGACTCACTCTCTCTCTCGCTCTCTTGTTCTACCTCTCCCTCTCCCTCTCACTCCACATTAATCACTAGTAAGGTCACCAACTGAACACAAGATTAAGTGTTTGCCATCCTAATTATCAGCCTTGTTGAAATGTAGTGTACTGACTATTTAAAACTAACTTTACACGTCTCACATTTAAGCTCGAGTTCACACATACATGCTGGAGAAGTCTCGTCTGGTCCACCGGCCTCCTCAGCAACACAACTTCAGAATCTTCTACCTGATGGCCGAGGGCCTTTCACCCGAAGACAAGAGTGTGCTTTACCTCAACAATGTCCTGGCTCACAGGTGTGTGGCTGTACAAATATACACATACTTTACAAGTTTGTTTAACTAATTTAAAGGGGACATAATATGCAAAATAATTCATTTTAAATAAAATTTGTAAATGAAAAGCCTCTGCATGTATCTCTGCTATCAAGCTAAAATGGACTACTCTGGAAGCTGGAGGGGGCGGGGTGTGAATCGCCTCATTTGCATTTAAAGAGACAGCACCAAAACAAGTTGATTTGAGACACAACTCAGAGGTGTGAAAGTTGGACTTAGCAGTGGTGGGCAGCGCTAATCCAAAAATTAGCTCCGCAATTTCTAAAGCGCTTATGAAAAATATTTAGGTCCATAACTTCAAAATTGCTTATGTCATAGAAAAATTAGTGGAAGCTAATTTTAAAGCACAAGTTCAATTTGTCACTTACTAGCTGACAATTCATGTACAATATGCACAATACTGCCAACTAGTGGTGTATGAACTCTTGTACAGCTTAATCCTACAACCATTGATAGCTTTGGCTCCTGGTGTAAAAAATTAAAAAGTTGTTGAGGATTGCTAGTTCGGTTTGTTGTAGATTTTTTTGTTAAAGAAGCATCAATAAAGTAATTTTAAAACTGTTTATTAGAAAACTGAAGTGATCTACTCTGGGTACATGACGGACTGACAGGAACCGGAAGCACAGGGAACAGGAAACTAGTATCTTCCCTTCAAAATAAGAGCTTGGATTTTAAAGTTTTCCAGTTCACCTGAAACTCATCAGACTGAAGAAGTCTTTGGGAGGAGAGACGAAACGTTTCACTAAAGAAGAACTCATCCAGAAGACCTACTTATTTTTGATTTTTGATTTTTTTCTACCTGGATCAGGATGTTTTCCATGTAGTTGCGCCAGTTGACCACTAGATGTCAGTCTTCACCAGCATAACATCTTTAAATCATTTCTGAGTCTCTAACACCTTTGGCCGATTGCTTTTGAGCTCCAGCATTTAAACTTTTTTTTTTTTTAAAAGGAGCTCCGACTGTAAAGTAAAATAAATCAATACATACAAAATTTTAGTATGGATTACAAACGTTTACTGTTTTTGCTATTGTCTTCCTGCTACGTAAGCAGAYACAAAGCATTGTGGGAAATCAGAACCGTGGCCAAATGCAACAGTCCGCAAGGATGTATACCTTCCCAATAAATGTGTTTATCTGGGAGGGATGCTGTTGGATAGATCATGTGTGTTGTGATTCATTGACAGCCTTGCCTTACGCTGTTCAAGATAATGATGACTGGTAGATAATTAGTTATTAGCGGTACTGCATTTTAATTTTAAAAAGTGTGAATCTGCTTATGAATTATAAAAATTTGTAAGTCCGCTAAAGCGCAAATGAAATATATAGGTCCGCAATTAGTGGATTTGCACTTTAGTGGGCTGGTGCCCACCACTGGGACTTACAATAAGAAAGATTTCAGATTAAAGCATAAATGCCCCAAATGAATGGTTTAAATGTGACAAAGAATTATTTAAAAGTTTTATTTTAAAGCTTCCTTTAAAATAAAACTGATTAAGAACAATACTAATTTTAGGCACTTCAGTTCTCTTGTCTGAAATCTTTTTTATACCAGGTATTTAAGTGAAGGACATCCAGGAGAGAACCCACCAGTAGCCACAGCATCTGCCCAGAGCAGGGAACATCTGGCTGCTGTCACACAAGCTCTGCGAGCCCTGGGATTCAACAAACAGGTGATGATTGGCATATTCTGCCTTTAGCTGAATGTTACTGACACACCTGGAAAATGTTGATGTTACAGACCCTGAATTGCTGAAAATTTTACCAAGCATTATTTCTTGAGCTTAAGAAATTTTGCATGTTGCCAGGTCCAGCAGCCACCAAAGTGTGCCCTTCCAAGAACGCCCACCTGGAAGTTTAACCTTCAACTTGTATCCAATAAGAATTGGGGGGGACTTTGAGGCAATCTGTCAAATCAAACAATACAAGTTTTATCAGCACAATGACACAGCAATGCCTCATAAATGATGGAGATGGGCTGAGACAATTCCCCAAATATTTAAACAAGGACTGCCCCACTTGTCTTTGAATAATTGACCATTGCATGATGAGAAATAGAACACTGAGGGCTGCAGGGGTCCATTGTCAATGTATGCACATGTGCTCAGTCAGGCATGTATGTACGGACCTAAAACATGTGACTAATAGCAGAGGATACCTATACAGAGTGGCTGTTGTGTGCTTTGGTATGGTTTGTCCTGTGCACCACCAGCTGTGTTCCCAGACCATTATCAAGTTTTATTCTTAGATACCCATATAGCGTTTATCAGCAGTGAGTGATCATCACCTCACCTTTCAATCCAGCAGCAGCATAAGGAGGAATACAGCAAAGGATGTTGGTGTTATCATATTGTAAGAAATACGTGTTCAATATCGGCCGAAATCAGATGAAAACACAAGTGTTAAATAAGATGATCTGTGATAGGAAATAAATGTCATACAACCCAGAATTCTGGAGAGATGAGTGAGGTTTATTTGTCACYGGCTGACAAGCCAAACCACACTGAATGAAAAACAGGAAGTTCCCTTTCATATACCGTACACGATTCTTCAATGCCYGAGTTCGCCCCCTGCTGACCTACAGCTGAATCACAGGCATTCAGACAAAGACCTCACACTAATGGTTTTAAAAAACAGTTCTTATGTGCTGTACATGAATTCGRACATGTAGCTRCTCTATTTTAATTAACACATAATAGATCARACATTATACAAGTATTATAAAATAATGAAACCCTATACTCTGGTGTAGTTTTCTAACATCAGTACTAATCTATAAATAACTATAAATTTCTTCAATATGGTATAACAATCTGCTATGAGAAACCAAGGCTCAGAAGGGGGCAGGGTTTGTGGAAGAGATAGACCACCCATGGGTCTCTGTCTAAAGCTCTCATCAGCAGACAACTTTCAGACCCGTTGGTCAGTCATCATTAACACTCCCCATCCTTTCTCTCTCTCCCATGCTTTTTTTCTCCTTTCTAAACATAGAAGAAATGAGGAGGGTGCAGAGGGTGGGGGTCCATCTGTATAGCGTCAGGCAGAGACTAATGCTTGTATTTATCTCCCAGATATCAGCTCCAACATCCTCCTGCCCTGAGAGTGCTCACAAAGATACATATATGCACACACATCCTCAAACTCAGACAACCCCTCCCCCGGTACCCCTTCAAAGATTCAAAGCAATTAAATAATGGGGGCGGGGTTCCATTAGATGTCCTCCACTGAAGGACACAGAGCAAGGGTGTGATAGAAGAGAGGGGTGCGAACAGACTTTCACTTTTTTTGTTCTTTGTTCAACACATTGTAACACTGCAATTGCAGTTGATTGATCTTATTGCAAGAAATTCCACAAAACATTGACCAACACTGTCTTTTTAGTATTCCTTCTATTTTTGTCGTGGTCAGCCCCAAGCTATATTTAAACGATTTTAAATATTCAACAAAATTAGTGTGGTTTTGTGGTAATCAAGCCGCATGACGTCACTTTGTGTGTTTAGACATGCAGTAGCGGTCTTTGGACTAAATTTAATGAAGTTTTGACCATAGAAATTTGTTAGAAATGGTCTATTTAGTTACCAGGATGAATTTGGACTTCTTGATGTCAACAAATTTGTGACTTCCAGACAGATTGTGGCTCTGTGGAGACTGATCTTGCAGATCAGCACCTGCCATGATGAGTCTATGTTTGAAAGGGAGAATGGAAAATACTTGTGAGCTTTTTTGAGATTAAAGACCTTGCATTCCTTTAAGGAAAGCTCATCTCCTACTGTTATTCAGTTCAATTCAATTCAATTCAGTTCAGTTCAATTTAGTTTATTTATATGGCGCCAATTCCCAACATACGTTGTCTCAGGGCACTGTACATGAAAAAATAACAATCTAAAGAAGAAGAAGCCAGCAGATTGTGTTGAATCACTTCATCACAGTCTCCCATCCTGAGCAAACCTGGAGAGGAAAAACTCCCTGCTAATCAGGAAGAAAGCTCCAGCAGAACCAGGCTCAGGACAGGCGGCCATCTGCCTCGACCGGCTGGTTGGGGGACAGGAAAGAGACACAGGTAAACACAGAAGAACTGGTCCAGGTGCACCTTCTTCTGGAAAAGATACAAAAAGAAAAAACATGTTATTGATAGAAATAATTACAATAAACATGTAAAGAAGAGAGACTAAACATGTTTTAAACAACAATCATCGTATCTTGCGAAATGACTGAGTTGTATTTGTTTTGGTCAAAACTGAAAAGAAAAGAAAAAAAATACATTATGCCCAATCTCACGCTTTCAACTAAAACCACATTAAAGTTGAGCCATATCTGTAAAATAAGTTAAACTCTTGTATAGTAAAATTGTAATGTATTGTAAAACATTGTCTCAAAGGTTAAATTAGCAATATGATATGTTTCTCTGTTCAGATGTTCTTATTGCAATAMCACAAAGTCATTGTACATAATACAACATAGCTGAACAAAACAAGTTGGTAATATTCGGAGTAAAACTCATTGTCAAACTCATAAAATAGCTTCTTGTCTCAAATGACTGCATTACAAACCTTGTACGATTTACCAGAAAACCTGTCAAAATATTCATAAATCTTTAATGTACTTCTTTACATTTTGTTCTAGATCTGCTTTTTTAACTTCCCTGTGCTAATTTCAGCTTCTTTTGGCTTTTATTTAGCTGATTTTTGCTGGTTTCTGCTGTTTTAGCTATTATTCTTACCTTTTCTGCTACTCTCATTTCAAATCTTTCTTTTGTTTCTCTCACAATGTTTTTCTTTTGTTCTTTTCACTTTCTTTCTGCCATTTTCAGCTTTTTCTGCCCCTTTCAGCTATATTTCTAATGTTTTTTACTCTTTACTCTAATCAACATGTTGCAGCTGTTCTCTATCCCCATGAAGCTTTCGTGTTCACAATTAAGCAATTTTCAGCAATCATTAAGTGAATTTTATTTTACACCTCAACTGATAAAATTCAGCAAAGTTTAAAGTTTAAAAATATCTGCAGCTTTCAGCTAATTCAGCAATARGCATTCATTTGCCTTTTTGCAGGAAATGCAAATTCTCTAGTTTATATTATTTAACTATGGAAACATTTTGCACTTTGTAAATAAAATTTATATGATTCCTCCAGCTTTCTGTTTAATAACATTTCATCCTGAGTAATTCCAAACTTTCTCTCTCATTTTTATTTATTTTTTCCCCTGTGACTCTCTCTCTGACAGGAGGCCGACTCTGTGTTTACGTTGCTGTCAGCTCTGCTCCACATTGGGGATCTAAGTTTCACTGCGCTGACTGAGGCCAATGCAGCCTTCCCCTCTGACCTGCAGCTCCTGGACAGAGGTCAGAATCACATTCCACCTTTACAGAAATGCTATTACATGTTGCTGTAGCTCCCCAGTTTGRTGTGTGCTTTGTGGCTTCCCAGCAGTTACTAAAGGTCAGTCACTTTTCTGTTTGACCAGCAAACAAAATCACAGTTTAGACTCAGTGTTTTCTTTTTTTTCCTTTATTCTGTCATTACAAGTCCATGTGCTCCTGTGTCCCCCTGACCCCTTGTGAGATGGTAAACAGCGACTTCATCGACTGAGTGGGAAACAGCCACTCGTTGTTAGGGAGATGTGATGTCATGGCTGATGATGTCAGTAAGGGGTCTCTGGGTTGCCGTCACTTGTTTTTACTGCTTGTTTGCTCCRAAGTTTAATGATGACTAATCACTGCCGGCTCTGCCAATCAGTTAAGGAGGACTCGACTGTACCAGGGTTCACTGTGGCCGTGTTGTCAGCATGATGTCATCATCAGATCAGACTGGGCTCTTGGATGTTATTAGCTTTATCTCTCTGATGCTCAGTTCATGATTAATGCTGCTATTTTGATGTTCTTCACCATGTCATGTGCTCAGATATATGTTTTGCCCTATCTTTCTCTCTGTAGTTGCTGGATTGTTGCAGGTGTCCTCAAAYGACCTGAGCATGGCCCTCACCTCAGATGTTCAGTATATTAAAGGTACMAGCTTATTGATCTTTGCTAATGCTTCTTGTACATTTACAGTTTATACATCACAGAGAATGTCTATAGTGAGAACCCGAAGAAGAAAAACACATCTGGGTAGCTGGTTTTAAGATTCCAATTCCTTCACTCGTGATTATATATATATATNCAGATTTGTAAACAAGTTTGTCTTTTCCTTTATCCTGATCTTCTTACCATTAATGTAAACGTCAAAATGGAGCAATATATATATATATATATATATATTATTAAAAGGGTACATATGTAAAATCCACTTTCATAGCTGGTAAATACATTTTATTTTGTACTCCTCTAGGAGTACAGGAAATGTGGATTCAGTCTCTTCTGAGCAGATATTCTGTTTAGGTCTTATTTTTTTTTTAGTCCGTTCAGTTTTCCCTTTTCCGTATTTTGTTTTATGAACTATTATGTCATGTATTTGTTGCGGAACTGCTAAATAAGGTCATACATTTCCAGCTTACCCAATGTGAATCTGTGGTTCTGCTGATTCGTCGTTTTTGTTTTCCTCTGGTTCTGGGTCAAAATCTGGCTCCAACAAATAAGGCTGGATGGAGAAGCTTTCGTTGTTGACGTTTTTAAATTAATTTGTAAATAACAACTTTATTAATTCAACACAGTTGAATAGCCCTGTTTTAAGTTGGCGGACACAATGCTACTTTCATTTGAAGAGGATTGGTCCTCTTTCAGCCGTAAACACAGCGAGGCCGATCTAATCCTGATTTCCAGGAGCCAGAAGATTCATAGCCTTTTTTATTTTTTGATTTCAGGTGACGTGATCACGCGACGTCACACTGTAGAGATGTCAGAGCAGTACAGAGACCAGCTTTCTAAAACTATTTATGGACGCCTCTTCAGCTACCTGGTCAACAGAATTAACGTCTACCTTCAAGGACAAGATGACAGCATTGGGTAAATCTCTCTTTCTCTCTATCTACCTATCTATCCATCCATCCTGAGGAGTGTTTTCACTCTCCACAGTAGAATCAGACGTTCTTTCAGGGCCTGCTAATTATTTGACACTGATAGTGTTACGTTACTTAAAGTCTGTGGAGCAGGTTTTTAATAGTTTGCAAATCGTAACTTGCATATTCAAGAATGTATAATAAAATGTAAAGGCCAAAAGAGAACAATGATGGAGGACACACTCAAGATTGGAAAAAAAAAGCTTGATCCAAGCAGGTGAAGGTCAGGGGATCCTTGGTGTTGTTGATGTTGTGGAGTCTTATCTCACTCTGACAGTTTACCCACAGTAAATCTTCTGGAATGTGTTTGCTCCTCGCCTTGTTTACGCACCGACCACTGAAAATAATAAAAGTGTCAGCCACACGTTTATGGCACACCCGTTTTCAGATGGTATTGCACATACATGCAGACAGGCGTTACGGTGGTTGTCAAGGCAGCGCAAAACACAAACTTCTCGCACCGGTTCTGGGAATTCAAACTGATAAAATAATAAATATGTTTTTGTCTTTTCCAGTGATCCTGCAATGGAAATCGGAATCCTGGACATATTTGGGTTTGAAGAATTTCAAAGGAATGAATATGAGCAGGTGGGATGGTGCTGGAGTTATGTCATTTACAAAAAAAGGCTACTGTCTTAATCTTCCATAGAGTCACTGTGGCTGGAGCTGTAAAAAATATGTGGAATCATAAAGTTAAACAGGTCTTATTCAGAMCGTTAAAATGTTTGGAGTTCTTATCGGTTGCAGCCCTGACATTTTTGTGTGTAATTGTAATGAATGAGCTGAGGTCTGTGGCTGACTGTGGCGTGATGTTTCAGCTGTCCTCAGATGAACTGATGCTTGACACAATAACTGTCTGTGTGTGAGATGAAGCCAGCCTCACATGAGTCTGTGCGTGTGTGTGCGTTGGGGTGGGAMGTCCGGTTTTAGGAAAAAAAAATATTTTGTCTTAGGTGCAGCACAAGACACAGCAGAAAACTACAACGTTTTAAGAAAGAAAAAAACCTAAAATTCTGGCAAAAATGAAACAGCTAAAACATTAATATTATAAATGCACGTTGATGCAAATCACGTTTTCTTTATATTTC